ACTATTTTTATGTTCATTTGAACTATTTTTATGTTCATTTGAACTATTTTTATGTTCATTTGAACTATTTTTATGTTCATTCTGTGTAATGTTTATCTAATTAATTGTCATGAATATAACTTAATGGAGATTATAAAAAAAATTTTAAAACTGAATTGGGGTAGAAAAATAGTTCAAATGAGTAAGAAATGCGTTGATTTAAACTACAGGATATGACGTCATGTCAGTAGTTCAAATGAACAATAGTTCAAACGAGCAATAGTTCAAACGTACCATAGTTCAAACGGCAGTAGTTCAAATGCGGATCACAGCGGTCAGCTCATTTAAAGTAATCATTAAATCTAGCAAGACAAAATTTTACGCTTAAAACGAGTTTTAAAGCATTGATATTTATCTTGAAGCTAAAAGAATTTTGTTACCTATTCCCGCACGTTTAAATTTTTGAATTTTTTTCTTTTTAAAGTCAATTATTATTAAAAGATAATTTTTTGTACAGTCTTTTGCGGGTTGGAGCAGGCTTTTGCGGGGTTGGAGCAGGCTTCTGCGGGGTTCAAACAGGGTTCTGCTAACTACCTGGGTTCGAACAGGATATTGCGGGGTTCATGGCCGCATGGCCCCCCCTCCCTCGGTAAATCCACCCGTGCGGGTGGATTTATTTATCCTGCTATTAAGACATCGCGGCATTAATGTTAATAGCACGATTTACACCTCTAATGAAACACTAGGGTAGATAATCTAGCCTTAAATCCACCTGGCTGGATTTATTAATCGTGCGATTTGGCTTCAACGAAGCAGCCTATTGAAATTTTCTTTTGATAGGATACAATAAAAGCTTAAAACATTTTAATGTCATTTTTGAAAATTTTTAAATCTTTGGATTAAAAAATAACTCATAAATGCTGGCCGTTTCAGTTCAGACTTTTATTTTCGCGCCTAATTATACAACGTCTATACGCAATTCATCATATACATATAAGCTCTTAGGTCGAGGATCAAATATCGAAAGTTTTTTAATTTTAAGGTGCAACTGACCTATAGTTCAACAGCATCTAAAAATCAGCTGGAGACCACGTCCAAGTATAGGTCAGGAGGGGAGGAGGGCCAACCACATCAATCTCTAGTCCTAACCACACTCATTTTCTCGTCCGAACCACATCGAAATCCTCGTCCTTTCAATAATATTTTTTTAAAACGTGTCCAATCCTTCCATGATATAACTATTTATCGGTTCACGTCAGGGCATAAATGAAATATCAAATTTTTGTAAATCCAAAAAAAAAGTTTCAATTGAATTAAAGATTTCAAGTTTAATGTCTTTAAAAATATTCACCTTTTTTATAACGAGCATTTTCAGATATTCCTGGTGTAGAATGCCACAAATAATTCCAAGTTTATAGAACTTCAATCTTTTATGTTAACTTTAGTGAAAACCATTGAATTTTTCCGTTTGGTTCCATGGTGGAAAATTATACCCATAGGTAAGCCGAATATTTTGCTATTTTTTTCATATCAGGAAGGTTATACCATTATATGGAGGCAAAAGAGATTTAAGTTTTACCTAAATAAAGTTTGACATCATTTTCATGGGTTTGAAGATTCCAACATGATATAATCAATACAATACTAATTAATCCATCCATATTTTATGCCCTATAACGAGGCCAGATTTTTAAAAATAGTATTATATCTTCAAGAATTTTGGAAACTTTTTAACACAAAATAATTGAAGGACTCGAGGATTTCGAGGTGCTTCGGACGAGAAAATGAGGAGCTAATGTGCAGTTCGGACTAGAGATTGATGTGGTTGGCCTTCCTCCCTTCAGGTCAGAAGTGTAATATAGAGGATATGCGTAGGTCGAAAAAAGATGCTATCTCATTTGGACTACTGCTGTAATTGAACTATTGTTCATTTCAATTACTGCACGTGGGACCACGTGAGTAGTTTAAATGAACAATAGTTCAAACGAGTAAATATATTGTTCATTTGAACTATTTTTTAGTTCATTTGAACTATTTTTCATTTGAACTATGAAAATATTATTAATGAAATAAACAAAAAATAGTTCAAATGAACATAAAAATAGTTCAAATGAATAAAAAAAATAAATGAAATGAATAAAAAATAGTTTAAATGAACAAAAAAATAGTTCAAATGAACATGAAAATAGTTCAAATGGACAAAAAAAAATAGTTCAAATGAACAAAAAAATAATTCAAATGAACAAAAAAATAGCTTTTAAATGGACAAAAAAAGAACAAAAAAATAGTTCAAATGAACAAAAAATAGTTTAATTTGAACTATTTTTTACCTAACCTAACCTAACCTAACCTATTTTTTTTGTCCATTTGAACTATTTTTTAGTCCATTTAAACTATTTTTTTTCATTTGAACTATTTTTTTTTCATTTGAACTATTTCATTTGAACTATTTTTTTTTTCATTTGAACTATTTTTATGTTCATTTGAACTATTTTTATGTTCATTTGAACTATTTTTATGTTCATTTGAACTATTTTTATGTTCATTCTGTGTAATGTTTATCTAATTAATTGTCATGAATATAACTTTATGGAGATTATAAAAAAAATTTTAAAACTGAATTGGGGTAGAAAAATAGTTCAAATGAGTAAGAAATGCGTTGATTTAAACTACAGGATATGACGTCATGTCAGTAGTTCAAATGAACAATAGTTCAAACGAACAATAGTTCAAACGTACCATAGTTCAAACGGCAGTAGTTCAAATGAGAATCCACCAAATCCGAAGAACAAATTAAAGCTTCAGTTAGACAGAATGAAGGATTATTATGTTGTCTTTAAAGTCTTTTCGTTTGGGGGTAACCCTGAATGTAAGTATAATTTATTAGGCAAGTTAAGGGGCCGGGTACAGTGGGTTCCAGGCTAGGGGGGGCCTAGGGGAGCCCGAGGCATACCTACTTGCAAGGTTCACAGGGTTGTCTCCCCCTCCCCCCCTGTACACCCCTGGATTTCCCCCTGATTTTCCAGGGAGGGGGACGTCCTTCTTTAACCCCATCCCCCCTCCCCCATAAGCCACCCTCTGCCTTGAAACGCGTTATAACTGCATATACACATTAAATAATAAGATTTATTTAAATTTTGGAAATTATTGATTGATTAATTTAAGGTTTCTGAACGAAGACGATTGTAAAAGTTTCTCAGCGCATCCTTAGAGATGAGTTAATTTTTCTGAAAATATATTTTCAATTTCTAAATCTTTGAACGAACCAATTAAGAAATGTTCTAAATGCAAGAAGTATTTTACATTATTTTTGTACAAAACTTCACTGTTTTAGAATCAAAAGATCATGAGAACCAGTTGAGTTTAGAACTAATAACAATGTCGATTAGGAGAATACAAATAACAGACCTAAGTTGGACGGATATATTGTTTCCTAATGTACTGCCTCTACTAAGTGTACAGGTATACAACAATACGACTGTACATATTTACATTTTATGTTGCTATATTGTTGTATGTACTGATTTACATGGTTATGAGGGCTCTGCCCTAGAGGACGATTTTTGGACCCCTTTTCTTTAATTATTGCACTATACGCATTCTAAGGCTTATTTGGAGCCATAAGGCCGTTGCGCCCAGCCCCTTTGCCTATTCTAGCTGCGTCGCTCGGCCCCCTAGCATGTCATAGCCGTAGCGCTCGACTCTAGCCTGTCCGAGCCCCAGTGCTCGAATCGGTCCAAAAATTGTCCAACCCTACCATAACTGTGAATTTATATTAAATAAATACTAATTGTGGGGTCCGATTTCTGGATCCCTACACCCTTCCTATCAATTTTGTACATGACCACTTGTTTTTCATTTTTGAGCAAAAATATTGATATTATTTTTTTTTTATTATTTTAGGTTAGGTTAGGTTCAGACAATTTCTGGGCCGAGCAATGCGGCTAGGACAGGCTAGGGGGCCGGCTGCTGTGGCCACATGATCAATTAAATCCATGCATTATCCATGTACGAAATTGATTGGAGGGTGGGGTCCAAAAATCGTTCGCTAGGAAATTACCCTAACTATGATTAATATAAATGACTTCGAAAGCCGCAGCCCTCTGCCACCTAGTTTGTCTTAGCCTTAGCACTAGCTCATAAATTGTCCTAACCATTACTTAACATATCACTTTAGATTTATTTAAGTATTATTTTAATTATGACGCATCGATAAACCTACTCTGAGGTCAGTTGAGGTCCCATAAAAAATCTGGGCCGGATCGGTTCAGCCGTTTTGACGATTGTTGGATATAAACAGATAGAATGACAACAAGTATATATTCAGATAACCCTCTTTTAGGATTGGTTTAATCTGCGATGTGTGAGTACAGATATGAACAGTATGGTTGAGATGTACTTGGCACAAAATCGGACTTTGAACCTCAGTGGCTTAAAAAAACTTTCCGAACAAGCATTTAAGGTAGAATAGTCTTAAGAACCCAGCTTTGCCTGGAGCTTTCTCTATAAAAGTCTTCCGACACAACTTAGTATTTTTTAACCATTCTAAAACATTACCGCGTTTTTACCGAGTTCCCCAATCAAAATTTGAGGCAAATCGGCTCAGAGTTTCATTTGATTTAAGATCGGCATCCAAACGTCAGACAGACAAACAGAGATTACTACTTTTTCTTTATTTTACAAGTTTTACTATGTCAAATAATTATTAATAATAACAAATAAAAATAGGATCATTATTGATGTTTGGTCTAATATTTAAAAATCCGATTTTTAGATCTTAACTGAAAATGCAACCTGTCTAAAATATCTGAATCTATCTGGGTCCAAGGTAAAGAAAGCTTAACATTTCTCAAATATTCCGTAAAATTTTTGTAATTTTGCATAGTACGATAAAAAATGGCGGATTGAGTAAAAAGCTAAAATTGTTAGTAGAAATGTAGGCGCCATAAAAACCGATACTATGAATATATTCTTTATAATCTCATATATTCGGCGAAATCAAAGTCTAACAATTTCTAAATTTACGGGAAATCTTGTTTAAAAAATGAATGTTTGGATGAAAATTCTATTCTGGTTTCAATTGAAATGTACATAATTAACAAATGGTTAATTGGGGTTTGTAGACCGCCGGTAGTGCCATACATTCCTTATTTGTTTTATTTTAATTCTCCTTGTTTCTAGATTATAACAGATGATCTTGTTCGGTCAATACTAGAGAATAATCTTGAATTGACGTACATAAACCTATCCGACTGCCATCATTGTACTGCAGATCTTCTGCACACTCTTACTCTGAGGTACATCAACCCGCACTAGGCTCGGGTGTAAAGTGTACAATGAACTATGGTCTCAGAAATACATGGAACAGCAACCTTTAATGAAAAAGACTATGATAACTATTTAATCCATATTTAACGGGAGTCAAGAAGTTGTTACCCTTAAAGTTGATTTCTCTTTACTTTTATTCTGGGAATCACTGAATGAATCTTTATTATTAAATATTACTCGTTTTTTATCATGCAAATATTTTCCGTTCGGGGTTTTAAAACAAGAAAATTAAGATTACACAATTTTTTTAAAATATAAAGTAATTTGTTTAACGGCGCCTATCTTTCTTCTTTTAGTCTTAATCTGTTGTACTTTTTAATTTTATTTAAGTTTTTACAAAAATCAAAATTATTTTGACGCAAATTTTTGAGCCGTTTTGACGTTTACTTTATACATACTAACCAACAGACAATTGCCAATAGATTAAGGATATTACAAATTTTGTGTTATCAGGGATCAAGTTCAACGAAAAGCAAGGCATAGTTGAACCTCGTACACTAAGTTGAACCACTTCTCTTTTAACTTGACCCGGCGCACAAGAGACGTACATGGTTCATATTAATCTACTTGGCTCAATTATGTCTCGATATTCTTTAACCCTTGGACCAGATTTAATGAATAACGAGACATGGTTGAATCGCGTATTCATTGTCTCACAAGAGTAGTGGTTCAACCACGTCTGCGAGGTTCAGCTAGATCAACTTCCACTTATAAATTGTACAGGAATACTCGGCTGTGTCATCTAATCCTTCAAGACTGCCACTGGGTGACTAGAGACTCAATAGACTTCCACGCAACTCACCAGGTTAAACTAGTCTTTAGTCCATAGTCTAGTTCTGATGCAAATATTTTAGTTTAGGGGGGGGGGGGTGTATTTTAGTTCCTGGGAAATAGTCCAGTGCGGGAGAAATATGTAGGAAAAATGTTTGTAGTATGGAAAATATTTTGGCGCAGGGGGGAAATTAAAGTTAGAGGAAAAATATTTTTTTTTGTGCGAAATATTTTATTGTTGATGCTACCTTTTTACTCCAGGGGAAATGTTTAAGTGCAGGATTAGATATTTTTGTTTTAGGGGAAATATTTTAGCACACCTGGTGGAAAAGAGAAATTACAAAAATCTATGTTTTAATCTGATTCCAAGGATGAAAATCAAGTTTGTTGGAAATGTTCAGGGATTGAGTCAGGAAAGAAAATCTACACCGAGCTTAATAGAAATAAATCTAACAGGTTAGTCAATATTGTGGGTTTAATTGTACCGAGATTCGGGCGCAAAATGTACGCTAAAATTTAATGAAATTTACGCGGGCTAAAATTTAAAACCTGTGCATAGGATTCGGATCCGTTGGATCCCCACCCCAACACTTCCTGGATCCGGATCTGCATACGGATCAACGTATCCGGATCCAAGGGGTAAAATATCAACCAAAAACTGCAAAACAAACTTCTAACTATAGTAAAAGGAGAGATTATTAAAAATTTCGTTTTTTTGAATGAAGCATGAAAATTAGCGAAAAATAGAAGTATATTTTTTTAAATACTGCTCTTGTTGAAAAAATCAGATCCGGATTTAGGAAGCCAAAATGTTGCGGATCGAACGGAACTGGATCCTAATCAATCGTTCTCAAACCAATATGTATTTAGGATGTTGGGAACTAACGGACGATGTTGTGAAAAACTTTCTCTCTCGGTTCCCGAAACTCAAGGTTATAAGAGTTCAAGGGTGTATATTTTCCTGAACAATCATTCTTCCCCCTTCTCTTTTAGAAAATCATTAGTTTCCCCTGACGTTGTATAGGGTTGCGCGGAGCGCCAAAAAAATTATTTTTAGGGGGTTTTGCTGAGGAATATAAATGATTTTGGGTAAAAAGTATCAAAAATTAAAAAAAAAATTCAAAAACTTTTCATGTCCCATATTTAATTTTTTCATCAAAAAATTCATCAAAAATCATTCTGAAAATTAGATTTCCTATGAAAATATTGTTCTGAAAGAGTGTTAATTGATCTTACAGTAAATGCGTTAACAAAAAATTATGATTGAATTATGATTGATAATTTTTTAAATTCAAATCTACATTTTAATGATTTCTCTGTATAACTTATCTAATTGTTTCTAGGTTGTTGAATTAGGAAATATTTACAGTTTAACGGATACTACGATGAAAGCGCTTGCCACCTACACTAGGTTAGAATGCATTTTATTTAAGAGAATTTTCTTTTTTTTCCATCTTTTTTTAAAGAACTTTGTAATGGCCTCGTTTTGATGCTGGTCTGCTTGCCTGGTTTCTAAGAATTGAATAATCTGCGATTTTTTTAGAACCAAATTTTTTTTATAACTTCTAATTGTTCTCAGGGACCTTCAAGTTTTGAACATTCAAGGATGCTGGAGAATTTCGGATTCGGGACTCAGGTAAATTACTTAGACCCCCCCCCCCCCAATTCTGTATTTAATTTTTTTCAAATATTCAGGTCTGCGATCATAGATTACTTTTACTATAAGAGCGTCTAAAACTCCTGAATGGGATATTTAGATTGGAAACTTTAAATTTTAAGCGACGGATTATCTAAGCTGTGAAAAACAGATGACTTATATTTTCTCGATCTTTTTATTGGCTTAAATCAAATTTTTGTGTTGCTTCAAATTGGTTTTACCAAAACATGTTTAAAACAAAACAAAATTATCAGTAAACTGAAAAAATTTACGGATTGTCTTCTTTACTGTAATCTACGAATTTACGAATTAAATAACAAAATTCTGAATAAATTCAGGGGTTTATATTTTTACATTGTATTTATCTGTTGCCTAGAACTGTATCTGAATACTGTCCAAACATTGTGAAATTAAAAGTAGAGGATTGCAGAGCGATATCTGAATCATCTTTAGCTAGGCTCAGGTAAAAAAAACTTAGGCCACCGACTCCCCGGGTCGACCTTTTCTGGTCCTGGTGCCATGCCCTGTGTGAAAGAAAACAGGGGATGTTACTATGACTTTTTGTCAGGGGGAATTATTTTAAATTAGACTTAATTGAAAGGTTTTCCCTCCATTAAAATCATAAATTTTTCCCCAGTTTTGAAAAAAAAACCTTTGTGTTAATTATTTATTGGTTCTAAACAAAGTGAGAATCAAAAGGGGTGGATGATTGATGTTTCAACTTAGTTAATTTTCCACATCTTAGATAATTTTTCTAAGTTTCCTGAAGTACATATTTTATATGTTTAGACAGAAGGATGTTGATATTGATCGAGCACTTGACAGAACACTTCTTAGGCATACGCATTACGCATTTTTTAAACACGTATTTACTTTTAATGCAAAAACTTAAAGCTTCCATGCCAGTTTGATATAGTTATCCGATTTACCTAAGGGAAAACTAAAAGAAGTCAAGGAAAACATTCAATTCAAAGTTTTTCGCAGGGGTGTATATTTTTAAGAATGACATTAAAAGGAAAGATTTTTAATCCTTGTTCTTACTTTCTCCCAAAAAATCACTTNATATTTTAGCCCATTTTGGACCTGGGATGATTTCTGCAAGAAAATACTTTTTTAATTGGTTTATTGGTGTGTAAATGTTTTTATATCTCGGGTTTGAAACGGGTTTGAGGTTTAAAACATCTCTTTTATAACTTCATTGGCCTTTCAGTAGTTCCGTCAGATATCAAGCTTGTTTTTAAAAATGTCCAGGTTTCCAGCAATTCTGATTTCAAATGGAATATTTTTCCACATATTTATAATACTTGCACTAAAAAAGTTTCTTCGTATTTCGATGTGCACAACTAGAATCTTCAGATTTAAAGGATCACTGGACATTCTGGTTAGTCTTTCATTTTCTCCAGGTAAATAAGCAGAGCTAAACAATTTATTTATATCCACATGGTCCTGTTCATGTAGGATTTTCCAGACTTGAATCATATCTCCATTCTTCCTTCTTTTCTCCAGACTAGTGAGTCCAACCTCTCTCAGTTTATCTTTATATGTAGTTCCTGCGAGTCCAGAAGTCAGGGAAAGGTTCTTTTCTGTACTTTTTCCAGGATTTATTTATTTTTAATCAGCCAGGGATTCCTGGCTGAATTAAATAATAGATAAGATTTAACGGTTTAATTAACAGAATAACTACTAAGATTTGACAAATATAATTAAGCTCTTCACTTTTATACGCCTAACTGTTGGACCAAATAGGCAAACATTTTTTGAGGGAACCCATGGCTCATTGGTACCCTGGAGAAGAAATGGGCCAAAAAAATAAGATTTTGTTGTCTTTAAAAATCTATATTTTTTAATAAAGTTTTTTTTATTCGATTTTTTGAAAAATTCGTCGGGTAACGCCGGGCACTTTAGCTATTATTTGATAATATGTATGTTCGCAGAATTCAGCAGATGCGTCTACAGTATATGCATGACAGGCTTGTCATCTGAAAATAAACCAAGATGTCACAAACAATGCATTTATTTACGTAGATCTCATATATTTTTGTGCTAATTAAAGGCTAATCATTAAATTTAAATATTCCAGTTTCCTATTAATTCCAAGGCCTAACTAACAAACAACCACATCACTTTGAAGAAATAACTATTGAACGTATTTTAATGTATTCTTTGGAGAAAAAACCAACGTTAGTGGTTGAACTAGCGGTTGAGACATATCTTAAATTCTTAGCAATTTAATTATAAGAAAAATTATTTTTATTTAGATTTTATCTCTACAATCAATGGAAACACAAATATTTTGTAATACTAGTTTTTAACCGCTGGAATTAAGATCTTTTTATATATCTCTGTTGCCTTCAACTGCCGGAAGTGCAGGTTTTATTTTACCTCTTTCAACTTAAACCGTAAAAATTATAGATAATTAAATAGCTTTTTATTTGTTTTTAACCGATTCAAGAACATATTTTTTAGCAAACAAATTTAGTAAAAACGGAAAACGTTGCAAGGTTATAATATCCAATTAAAGAATATAATTTAGAGGTTTAATTAATTTTTAAGTAGAGAAAGAAAAAAATCGTATTTCTTATTCTGAAACTAGATCTCAACCGCTAGCGTTAAGTTTTGTCTTCCCTGAGTATATATTAATGAATGTTTTGTTCTTAAAATTAACTGAGATTTCTTACCGCAGCTCTGAAGCTATTTAATACGCGCCCAACCTCAAAATACTCTGTGATCGATTAAACATTATTGGTTGACAATTTACTTTTTAAAATTTACATCTCCAAATTTTTATAGATATTATTTTATTGACATTTTTAGTCATCTTAGAAACTAACTAATTTTATTTCAATATTACAGAGAATAAGAAGCAATTAAATGGTTAATTAACTGTGAAAATGGAAAATAAGAACGAGGGAAACGAAAGTACGGAAAATGGCGAAAACCTCGGTTCTTATCTTAAACCAGTCAGAATCCAGGTAGAAACATAACAAATTTAGGTTTCAATTTTTTTTATCCAAGATCCAAACTTTCTTTATATCTTTTATCTGGGTCTATGGAGGACGATTCGTATCAATTTCTCTGTACAAAACTTTGAACATATTTTTATGAACTCACCAAAAATGTACAAGGGTTTGATGAACGGAGTTTTTCCTCATCAAATCAAACATATTCTTCATTTTAGTTGAAATGTATAAAACTACCGAAGAAACGAAGAAAGACTACTTCAGAAAATGAAAACCTTCCTAATAAAAAGGTAAAAGAATAAGATGCAATAGAAATTGAGTGTAGCCAGCATGGCGCTTGAAAATGAATGTGTTGTCTAAACCTAAAAAAAATGATAGCTTTGTTGTTCATTCGAATTTTTAATAATATTCTTTGTAAATGGTTTGAGATGTTTTGCTTGTAGTACAAATTCGGATCTGATGTCGTATCTATAGACTGGCGTGTGGATCATCGCAAGAAACCAAGGTAAAAAAAAACTAACATAAAATTAATATTTTAGCCCATTTTGGACCCATTCTTCACATTTCTTCTGCCCCCCCCCCTCCCCGCCGCCCTTCTTAACATTATTTTGCCAATTTTGCATGATTATAATGTTCCCAGGTCAAGATAGATAGATAGTTTGGCGAGGTTGCCAAAAAATAGGAAGGGGGGGGGGGGTCCACGGCACCAAGATTTATATTTTCCCAATATTTTATTTTTATCTTAAACTAGCTTGTGAAACCTATTTTACATGAAAACTAAACTTTCTCTATGTAAGTCAACTCAACTTGGAATTTTTAAACCAAACTATAAACATTACTGTGGTTCTACCGAGTAAAAAACTTGTTCTAGGGGTTCCTGAGTTTGGATCGGATAAACACAGAGATTATTACTTCTGTATAAAGCTTAATTATTCCTTAGTTTTGTGTGCACCATGTGTGCAAAGGGGTTTAGCAGCGCATCCGCACTCTCCTACCACGAGATTTACCATCCAGAGCTGACGCGCACCAGCCTTCATCCTTCTCAACTTGAATCATCGAGTGCACTTACCTGCCTCACTCTCGCCGCAGGGTCAACCCCTACCTTTTGGACCAACGGTAGAATTCTAGGTACTACAATTTAACGCAGGGGTTATATTTCCCTTTCAGAGCTAGAGATTTAATAGTTATGAAATCAAATTGAAAGCTTCACATAAGACGCCAATTACAAATCAGCTGATGAAAGACTGTGTAAATTAGCTACGCGGAGCTAAGAACGAAAACTTTTTTTAATGAATTGTTGGGTAGAATGTTTAAAAAAGTTATGAAACTTCTCAGTTAATTTTCCCCACCAAATCTTCGAAATTTCCACTAACAAACTTTATATTTTCATTCAATGGTTATCTACATAATAAATCTTTTCGCTCATATAAACATTATACATACTAGACTTTATCTTCTATTTTAATTGTAAACATGTTCTCTTTGTGTAAAAAGAACGAAAAAAAGTTCGTGGATTTCATAAAAACATTTCGTGAATTTTCTAGAATTTCAAAAATTTGATGAAAATCTAATTTTGTTGGATCGGCAAATTTTTGAAAGTATATATATAGATACTAGGCTTTTAAGGGCGCTTCGCGCCATCTTCTATTTCAATTGTGAACATATGTTCTGTTTGTATACATTGTGAAATAAAAACAAAACAGATTTCGCGGATTTTATAAAAAAAAAAAATTAGTGGATTTTCTTAATTGTCAAAATTCGAATTTTGATAGAGGCAAATTTTGGAAAATTCGATCATCCATAAACCTTCCCTGAGGTCACGCGAGGTCCGTCAAAAAATTTAGGCCCGATCGGTTCAGCCGTTTTGACGTTTATTGGTTACAATTAGAATATGATATTTTAGCATGGGGATCTTCAACAAAAAATAAAATAGGAAAATTATTTAAACTTAAAAAGAAAGCAATACGGCCTTCGTCAGATAAAGGATATTCACAGCATACAGATCCTTTGTTTTCTAAACTTGGAATACGGACTTCGTCAGATAAAGGATATTCACAGCATACAGATCCTTTGTTTTCTAAACTTGGAATACGGACTTCGTCAGATAAAGGATATTCACAGCATACAGATCCTTTGTTTTCTAAACTTGGAATACGGACTTCGTCAGATAAAGGATATTCACAGCATACAGATCCTTTGTTTTCTAAACTTGGAATACGGACTTCGTCAGATAAAGGATATTCACAGCATACAGATCCTTTGTTTTCTAAACTTGGAATACGGACTTCGTCAGATAAAGGATATTCACAGCATACAGATCCTTTGTTTTCTAAACTTGGAATACGGACTTCGTCAGATAAAGGATATTCACAGCATACAGATCCTTTGTTTTCTAAACTTGGAATACGGACTTCGTCAGATAAAGGATATTCACAGCATACAGATCCTTTGTTTTCTAAACTTGGAATACGGACTTCGTCAGATAAAGGATATTCACAGCATACAGATCCTTTGTTTTCTAAACTTGGAATACTTAAATAATCTGATAATGCTTCTACTTTGATGTATAAATAATCTGATAATGCTTCTACTTTGATGTATAAATAATCTGATAATGCTTCTACTTTGATGTATAAATAATCTGATAATGCTTCTACTTTGATGTATAAATAATCTGATAATGCTTCTACTTTGATGTATAAATAATCTGATAATGCTTCTACTTTGATGTATAAATAATCTGATAATGCTTCTACTTTGATGTATAAATAATCTGATAATGCTTCTACTTTGATGTATAAATATATCAACGAAAACGTCCTTCGTTTTTTAAGACACTAAGTTTTAAATTGGAATTAGTATGAAACAAATACCTTAAACCTTTTCCAAAAATATTTCTTACGAAAATTTGGAATAGTGTTCCAATGAATATCAAATGTTCAATTTTAGTACTTAATTTCAAAACACATATGAAAATATAACTGGCTTTTAGATATAAGGAATTTAAATGTAAAAACAGGAACTGTTACTCATGTAATTTGTAAATCTTGTAAACCACTCTAACATATTATCGCCAAAAATTGTATTTTTTAGTGTTGGGGTTTCCCCTTTCCTTCCCTTTTCCCTCTGCTATATTCACCCTTTTTTTTCTTTTTTAAAATCTACTTTGTGATTTGTGTAATGTATTTGTTATTTGTTATTTCAAAAAAATAAAACTTTGGAGGGCCAGCCAATCAAAACAACCAAGAACGGTTAGGCTGCTGACTGTTAAGTTAAAAATTATAAAAATAAAAATGTAATTGTACTTATTGTGATGTTATTGAAGATACAGGCTTCGGTAGTTTGAGCTTCACGGCTCGGCTACTGCCACTCGGGTATAACAGTATCATTGCACATGTCATGCTAACTCTGTGATCCATGCACCCAAAAAGGGGGCTCTGGGGTGCAGGGAGGGGTGGTTACCTGGTAACACTTCTGTTATTAGGGAGTCATAATAGATAGATAGATAGATATATCTATCTATCTATCTAAACAAACAGACAAACAAAGTATATATTTAGATGCTATTAATAACTGGCCAAACGGATGGACCGATTGGGCGGAAAAATTTTTCGTAACATATGCTAAAAAAAAAATCAAATATTTTTTCTTTCCTTAAAAATCGATGATTTCAAATATCGTTTTTTTTCATATTCCACGGGCAATGCCTGGCACTCCACCCTGTATATGTGAGTATAAATAAACACTTGATTAAGGTCCAGGTACGAGACGAGTGAGAGTCAAGTCTTTACCAGATGAAAACCTTCAATTCATTCAGGATTATCCGGTATTGAACTCTTCATATACTTTTGTAAAGTGCCTGTAGGATTTATTTTTATCCGGATCCGGATCCGGGATCTTCTCTGTCGAAACGGATCCAGTTTCTTCTTTCTTTTGAGCCTATTTTTATGCCGAAAATTGTCCATCAGGCAGGTTTTGATAAACACTCAAAAATGTTTTATTAACAGTCCGGATTTTTATTTAGAAAAAAAGTACTTATAAGCTTTGGTTGATATTTTGGCTCTAGGCCGGGGCCCGGATCCGTATGTTAGGTTCAGAAGATCTAAATTAAAAAATTATTTATTTATCTAAATGTTTAGGTCTGTGACTCTTCATCAAGTAAAGAAAAAGAATCTAGAATTCGAACATTATCTTATAACAATATATATAACTATTCAAGCAAAGTCGACCAAAGATCAGAAACGGGTAAGTTCAACGCCCAAATACAAAGATTGTCGGACAATGGTGAACTTGATGAAGAAGCTGAAACTATCAAATATTTAGCAAATAAACGGAAATCACGGAGAAAAAGTGAGATTTCTGACATTTCTGACATATCTGACATATCGAATTTTGTGATAAAAGAAAATGGTGTCGGAGAAGAAAATGTTTCCCGGGAGAAACATCATATAATAAAAATTGTAAAAGTAAGCAATGACAGTTGGAAAATAAACAGGAAAAATTGTGGAGAATCAAAAACGGAACCTTCAGAATCTGAAAACTCACTGAGTGTACCCGACCCTGAAGACCATAAACACCTCGAAGACCTTGAAGACCCTGAACACCCTGGAGACCTTGAACACCCTGAAGACCATGAACACCCTGAAGACCTTGAACACGTTACATACCATGGGAGTTTGGAAGATCTGAGACCAAACGAGGAATTAGTTGAGCCAAAGTTCTTTGACGAAGACGATTTTGACATAATAATGGAGAATTCTGAATCTGATTCTATTATTTTCTCTGAACCATGTATGAATGGCGTGACTCAGAAGAGCAGTGTGACTCCTGAAAATCTAGAGCTGCTGAATGGGCTCCCTCTCACTAATGGATTATCAAGTCCCCATCATCTTTATCCTAGTACATTATATAAAAGACCTTTTGTCAACCTTAAACGTTTAAACACACTTGGATTGTGCTTAGAATCAACAATTCAAACTCCGAATTATTCCAGGTTAAAAAATGTGATTTCACCATCTACAACGAATAGAGGCGAGACTAGTAATGGATTAGAAAGTGAAGAAGGATCAGAAAAGATTTTTGGACTTGAATCTAAGCAAAACAATGCATTTAAAGATGGGCCTGTAGCATTTAAACAATTTAAATCCCCGAAATTAAAAAAGCGAAAAAAGCGATTCAGTTTGGAGCAGGAAAAACCGGTAAATGTGTCAAAATCTTCAGACGTAGCAAATCCGCCAAAGTCCATGGAAAATTCTGTGAAGCGAGAGAAAACTTCAGCGTCCAGGGTAGATGGAATACATCCTAGAACGTCCCTTAAGTCGTATGACACTAGCTCTGGGTCAGCTGGGTCGGAACGTCGGTTTTCTGAACGCAGATTTCAAGGAGAGAAGCCGTATATGTGCAATCATTGCCCACTAACTTTCAGAAGTTATCAAAATAGAGGTACTTTCAGTAATTAATCTTTAATCTGCATTTTTATCATTTTTCTTCTTTTTCAACCCACCCAGATTTCTTGAAAAAGTGTCAAGTGTATTAATTTTATAAAAGAAACATTTCTCTTTCAAAAAATATTTTCGCCACACTTAGTTTAAAACTTCAGGAAGTGATTTTTATAAAATCACCCCCTTGAAAATGAAAAGAAGTATAGATGGCATTTCAAGTTAACTCCATTTATAGAGTGTCATGTCTGATTCACATCGATTTGCATGCTTAAGAAATGATAAGATATTTATGTTTTTAGCAAAGAAAAATGATTATTTTCTCAAAACAAAACTTCTTTCAGACTAGAATAACGGCGATATATTCTACATTACTGGTCAGATATAGATGTAACAAGGTCCTCTGTGAATCAGACATGCCCCTTAATCAATGGGAAGTCACGTGGAATAGTTACGTTTATATTATTTTCAGTCGTCCATGAGAGAACACATAAAGAGAAACCTTTTGAGTGCACGTTCTGTGAGATGCGATTTTCCCTCGAGATGAACATGAAGAGACACGCGAAGATTCACAGATAAAATATTGGTATATTCAATATTTTATTTTATTTCAGATAAAATGTTATGATGAGGAAGAAATTAAACACAAGCCTCGCCTGCGCAGAATGATTGAAAAATACAAAATATAAAATGGTAATTGTAATTCATGTATTGGTCAAACATTTTTAAAATGTAAAATGACACAATGTGTATTTTAAATCCTCATTTATTGTCGTTGTCTTTGAAAATGGCAGTTCAATACAGTAGTAATCGGAAGAAATTGTATTGGAAACTCTAACGAATTACTTAACAAACAAACACATAAACAAATGAACTTACGGTCACACAAACAAATAAATAAACGAGCTAATGAACAAACGAACAAGTAAAAGAACGGACAAATAAACAAATACACAGATGAGCAAACAAACAAATGAACAAGCGAATAAAAGCATAAATAAAATAATGAACAAGCAAATGGATGAGCAAGTGAACAAACGAACTTGAGTTAACGAACGAACAAATGGAAAACTAAACAAATCAAGAAACTAACTAAGACCCTAACTTCCTGAATTATATAGATGGAGGGAGGACTAGGAACTGATATAACTGTTCTGGTGGTTAGCCTGGCCATTATACCAGCAGTACTGGTTCTTCTTCTCTTCTGTCTAAAGGTACATAAATAAATGATAAATATAGTTGTACAATGTACATATATCTCATTATGTACACAGTGTATTGGAACCAAGTCAGAACGGTGTCCAGGTATCAAGGATTGATCTCCATTTAAGTAAAAACCTCTCTGATAGCCCGTGGTGGTCATAGCCGTAAGGGATATATTAGTTAAGGAGCAAGCTTTGAGCTTCAAATTTTAAAAGTTCCCAAATTGAATATTGAAGATTTACGTTCCCCCTTTTTTGATTTATATTTTTTCCACCAGAAATTAGTTATTTTTTTTTCGTTGTTAATTCGCTTAAATTGGGGGGGGGGGGGGTTATTTCGTTTAGAACGTATCAAAAAGGATTAAAAAACTTGCCTTTAGATGTCAAATTCGTCATATATTTTCTGTAAGTCTTGAAATTGTATATTTTTTAATTTTGATTGTTGAAGGTTCGAGCCAGCAGAAGTAATCCTGATATATACGGAGTAGAAGGAACTGTTAAAAAGAAGGTATAATGGGGTTGTCTTGGTAACATTACTTTAAAGAGGCAGTTAACGTTATTTCTAGTAATCCTCCATTACAAAAGTTGTATGCCCGTTATACAGTGGTACCCTTTACCCTTTTTTTCTGAATATTGATATTTTTTATTCTGATTTCTCACGAATAAATAACTTCATTTGCGTATCAAAAACATCGAAAAAAATGTCAGAAAATAAGCAATCATATTTTTTTCATTGGCTTTTGTTCTCGTTCCTAAATTCCTAGCATATCCCTTAATAAGTTTTGTTAGTTAGATCTTTCAATTTTCAATTAAACAATGTATATCTTTTAAACTCAAAGATTCAATTTTTAATTCAGTTTTTTATTTCAGTTAAAATATAGATTTTATTTTGTTTCAGAATGAAGATTTGTTGAATAGTTCGAACTCGGAAAAGCATAATCTATCTATCGAGGACGCGAATATTCGGACTCCGTCTTATGATCGGAAACTTCCAGAAATACCAGACGATATTTACAAGGCATCTCTCAAGGTTAGAGGATTTTTTACATCTGTTTGAGGGGATGTAAATGTTGTATTCAGTAGTATTCAGTTTGTGGGAAAAATGAAAAATTGGTTTATCAACTATAAGAAGTTTGTTCCCTCTTTTGATATTTTGCCCAAAAAATCAATTTCAACCAAATATTGATTTGATATCAGATGAAGGTTTAAAGGATTCCGTTGTTAATCTAATAATGGAGGCCGGAGGGTCATTTAAACTTGCAAAATAAGTTCCTTTAACCAACCAGAGCTGAAACTTTAGAATGAGAAATCTTAAATCCCAATTACTTAATCTGAGTATCCAACGGACACACTTGATTTTCTTTCTAACCCGTTCTTTCTTGGATATAGTAGAGAAAAATCAAAAACCGGTTTTTTTAAAATTTAGAGAGTCCCTCCCGCTTCTGTATATTAATCTTAAATGGCGCGCAAAATTTTAAAGTTATCGCAAAATTTTAAAGTTATATATGCGACTCTGATTGGTTGAATTTTATACACTTTTCAGGATACAAGTACAGGATTAAGTTAGTCTCGATATTTAAAAAAGAGAGGATCAAGCATTAATCTCAATATCCACCATTCAAAAGTTTTCAGCTCAGGGCAATTTTTCGAGCTTCAACTTTAATTAAATATGGTAAATTTTAAACAAGAATTTCTCATTCAACTTTGACTAGACAAAGGCTTCAATTGGTACCGTTGGGAGTTGTACATACTACTCAATAAATGCAGAATGACTTGAAATTACATGTAATTGTACAACCCCTTACAGGGAATGTTCGCGAAAAATAAAAGGGGGTATTGGCTTAATGCGATAAAAAAGCGCTTTTGATCGCTTCTAATCTTACTTCTATCTGTTGCGTCTATAAAGAGAAAATTGTTAAAAACGACTAATACCGAAGAACGTAGTATCCATACAAATTCAGAAAGGTGCAACATATGACTTAGACCGTAAAAAAATCTATTTAATTTCAAACAAATCATTCAGATATTACACCCTATGGTCATCGATTATATTTCGCCACATTTGTATATAGTTGATTTGATTTGATTGATCAAAAGCGCTTTTTTATCGCATTACGCCTATACCCCCTTTCATTTTTCGCGAACACTCCCTTTAAAAAAGCTGTATTATGTTTAGGAGGATAACAGCTCTGATCTGTACGCGACAGTTGACGAAAACTTACAAAATCATCTTCCACAGGTAAAAACAGGGGTGTAGATTTTTCTGACAAATCTTCCACCTCAGATGTAACATTTTTTTCCCCATAAGTCAGCTCGGAGTGCTAATTTTTTTTAGTTTGAAAAAATGGTATTTAGGAAAAAATAAAAGATTTTTAGGGGTAAATAAGTAAATAGTTTGGTAAAAGTATGAAAAATTATGAAAAAAAACTAGCCTTTTCATGTCCAATTTCCCCCCCCCCCCTAGATCTTTAAAAATAATTTTCCCGGGGAGGGGGGCTGTTGGGGATAATTCTTAAAATTATACACTTTTGCCTGGTGAGTGGGTGAAAATTTATTTAATTTTAATTATGTTTAACAAATATGGTCGTCCCCCTGAATGGCAATATCTGAGTATTTACCCAGACCATGTAGAGAAGAAGAGAGGGCTTATAAGTTTCCCCAGTCTGACATATAAGCATACCCTACATAAAGATTAAAGAAGGAAATGCCTGGATCCGAATACTGCGGGAGAACCTTTATTATTTGATTTCCAGGGAGCAAACTCAGTTTCAGTTGATCCGGCTCATCATCCTTATGCTAAAGTTAAAAAACAGGTAGAGCTAGAAAATAGTCAATTTTAAATTAAATTAAAACATTTTTCATCTTTATTCAGAAGATGGAAATTTTAACAATACTTCTGTAAATTCATAAATTTGATTTAAATTGATTGGTGAATTGTAAAAGATTTGAAAAAAACGCCTAAAAAATGAAGTGATTTTTTGTATAGTTCATAAATGTACCAAACTTCAGAAAGCACCTACCTAAATATATCTTACAAATAATTTAATGAAATAAAAAAAAAATCCCTCTGGATTTCACTATTTCTTTAAGGTTCAAAATTATACTTGAAGATATCAAATTCACACTTGATCAGACTTTCAAGGTTATCGTTGTAAATCGGGCATTGTCATCTTTGCATGGAGGGTTACTTGAAATCCTGAAAAAATCTTATTTCTGAATTATTGTTTCAGCGTAAACAGGAACATCCGTATGCTAAAGTTGGAGACAGGAATACTGGCAAACCAGAGATTGAGGTGATGGTTTTTCTTATTCAGCAGAATGAGGGATTGATTGATGGATTCACTTTTGGATTGATTGATTGAGCGATGGATTGATTGATGGATTTTGATGGATGAATTGATTGATGGATTGGTTGAGAGATTGGTTGAGAGATTGGTTGAGAGATTGATTGAGAGATTGATTGAGAGATTGATTTAGAAGTTGATCGATTGAGATATTGATTGAGAGATAGACTGAAAGATTGGTTGATTTTTTTTCACGTTTATGCCTTGTGAAAGTTGTGTGTAAATTTTTGGTTTAATGCATTTATAGTTAGCCTTTTTAAACCCAGTTAACCCAGGGCACTGCCGCAAAACAAATGATTTTTTGGGTAAAAGAGTCAAAAGAGGGAAAAATTCTGCTTGCTGACGTTGATTTTTATCCCCCCCCACCTTCAAAAATCATTCTCACCCTGCTATATCCGGGATGCACCACTAGCTCACGGGCGTTAAAAATTTTGAGATAGCCTTGATGAAGCCAGGCCATATGCTTCATGTTGATGAGCTGTGGTCTGAAGGCGGTTTGGTATATTCCATGTCTGGTTTCTTTTCATATCTTTCAAATTATCCCTTACTTCTAATATCCCTGATTCTTTGTATAATGAAAAGTGTCCAGCCGAACCAACTATCATCTGGACAAATTAACTATTTAATAATAATGGAGAGTAGTATTTTGATAATAGTATTATATCTAATATACCTTGATAAGAACTACTTCATAAACTAATTATTGTTTGCTTGATTGATTATTGGGTAAGGTTTATTAGTTGATTGTTTCAGATTGATTACTTGATTCAGATTGATTACTTGATTGAATGATTGATATGATTTAGTTAATTGTTTGATCGAATACTAGAGTGATTTGATTGATTGATTGATTGATTGATTGATGTGATTAAATTGAAATACTAAAATGTAGGATGAGGAGGATGAGACGGAATATGAAACTACTGAGAACCTTGAAACTAACGGCAATATACCTGGGTTTCCAAACTCCCAAGGGTTTCCCCAGGGTTCCAGTTTCTCCCCCTGGCCTGGCACTTCGGCTAGGAACCCCAGCAGGCAGGCTACACCCCTTCCACCTGAACCCCAGGCAGCTCAGTCTAATCAACATTTTTCAGGAGATTCACAGGTATATTATTCATCATTAATAGTCCATCATTAATCCATCATAAATCCATCATAAATCCATCATAAATCCATCATAAATCCATCATAAATCATCATTAATCCATCATTATTCCATCATTAATCCATCCTGAATCCATCCTGAATCCATCCTGAATCAATCCTAAATCCATCCTAAATCCATCCTAAATCCATCCTAAATCCATCCTAAATCCATCCTAAATCCATCCTTAATCTATCCTTAATCTATCCTGAATCCATCCTGAATCCATCCTGAATCCATCCTGAATCCATCCTGAATCCATCCTGAATCCATCCTTAATCCATCCTTAATCCATCCTGAATCCATCCTTAATCCATCCTTAATTCATCATTGATCCATCATTGATCCATCATTGATCCATCATTGTATCATCATTGATCCATCATTGTATCATCATTGATCCATTGTATCATCAATCATTGATCCATCATTAATCATGATTATTAATAATCATCATTAATAATCGTCATTAATAATCATCATTAATAATCATCATTAATAATCATCATTAATAACCATGAATACTTACTTGGAATACTTGATGTTTAATCCCCAGGGCTCCAGTTAGGAACATAGCGGGAATCTCTGGTCTCAACCTCACGGAGTAGAGATCTTAACCTCACGTTGTGCATCCTCATTGGTTTAGTCCTTGCTCTCTAGTCCTGGCACAAAGATTTTCTAGTTAAACAAATGCTTATCAAGCAAATTTTTGAAGATATTAATTGACTTTGCTTCCTTAATGTCCAACGGCAAGCTGTTCCATTGATTTGCAACTCGATTTGAGTAAACATTTTGCCTTAGATCCATTCTAGAGTGTTTTGGGATTATATTGTCCTTATACGCCGTCAGTCTGGTAGGTCTTGCAACTTCTTGCAACCAGATTGTACCAAGTATCAGCCTCTACTTTGTCATAACCTCTGATTATTTTAAATGTCTGAATAAGGTCAAATCTTTTTCTTTTCTGGTCCAGCGTAAGGAGTCCAAGTTCATTTAGTTTTTCCAAGTAGGTTTTACCTTTAAGCCCTGTTATCAGATTCACTGCTTTAATCTGTACTTTTTCCAATACTTCCTTATCACTGACTGTCCATGGGGACCAAGCTGTGACAGAAAATTCTAAATGACATCTTACGAATTGGGTATAAAGTTTGAGGAACGTGACTCGATCTCTGTAAAGAAATGCCTTAGAAATTTGAGTTAGAACCCCAGTAGCTCTCCTAGCTGCCTCTGAACACTGTAATGAAGGCTTTAATGATTTGTCTGTGATTACTCCAATGTCTCTCTCCTTGTCCACAGACTCCAGCCTTACTCCGTTCATTGTATACTCAAAATTCTTGTTTGCTCTACCAACATGTAGAACTTTACATTTTTGGATGTTGAAATCCATGCACCATTCAACAGACCATTCAAATAGCTTATCCAAACAATCCTGTAACACTTTTCTGTCCGACGGTAGATCTTCCACACTCATGGCTGCTTGAACTGCTTGAGGTTGAAGGATTTCTTCTGGCAACTCTTCCTCTTCCTCCTCGCCTGATGGAATCATAAATGATGGAGTTGTTGGAGTTGGAGGAGGTATAATCGTGGTTGGGGTAGATAGTGCCATTCCCCCCTCTGATATACACATCGCCACCCTCCCCCTGCCTCCCCCACTCCCTCCTCTGCCACCCCTGGCTAGTTGAGTTGTGTTTTGAACCCTCTCCTGCCCCCTCCCCGTAGGTTGCTGAGCTGAGTGACGTGAATAAAGAAGGGTTCTGAACCTCCTCTTTCCCAGTTTAATCTCTCCCTCCCTGTCCCTCCATTCTGGATAATCCTTCTTTTTATGAGCCTCTGATCCCCTCTCATACCAATGAGCACCCACTCCCAGTTTAAAGCCTCCGCTGGATCTAGTTCTCTGTTCCGTTTATCTGCAATCTTTCTTAGTTTGTCCTCTTCCTTTCTTTGATCCTGGGTTAAATCTGGAATGATACTAATTGAATTAAAGCTGGAGTTGGCCAGTTTTCTTGTGATGTCCAGAATGTAGTCCCTGAGCCCTGGGTCCTTTAGGCTTATTATCACTGGTCTTGGTCTTCCTGTCTCTGTTCTATCCCCAGGTCTGTAGATGAACTTGATGCCCTCCTTGGTGAGAGGAGCATCGAGGAACCTGAAGATCCTTATGACGTAGTCTGTGTCATAATCTTTACATTCATAGCCACGTGTTAGATTTGACGGTGGCTCGGGTATTTGGTGAATTACCAAATTATTTTTTCGAGCTCTCTGTTCCCTTAGCTCCTCCATCATCGCTTCCTTGCTTGACTGAACAATCTCCTCCTTGTTCATCTCGGCATCAGGAATCATCATCATGAATCACCATCATGAATCATCATCATGAATCATCATCATGAATAACCATCATGAATAACCATCATGAATAACCATCATGAATCACCATCATGAATCATCATCATGAATCATCATCATGAATCATCATCNAGTTTTTTTAGTCACATTGACTTTACACATTAAACAAAGATAAGTAATTTTAGGTGGCATATTGACTTGTAATAGTTACTCATACAAAATACTGAGTGGGCTTATTTTTAAGATTTTTTCTTTAAAACAAATAATTTATTTATTTTCTCTTTTTTCAGTAATTTTTTTCTTTTAAAAATTTAAGCCTTTTTTTCCTATTTTACGAAAATCAGGGGGTGGGGGTATGTTAACCTTTTAAAAAATTGGACATAAACAATACTCTTTTTTTAAAAAGATACTGAACTACAGTTTACAATTAAATAAAAACTTTTTTTTTTCTGTTCAGTCATAAAATCTCTAATGTATTTAGATTCTTGTACTTAAAGTAAACTTCTCCCGAGGTCCCAAACCTTCTCTAGAACGCTAACTTTTCGATGGTTGAGTTCATGTCTAGGAAGGTTAAAATGATCTCATATAGGCTGGTTTGTATGGAGATTTCTAAAGTAACCAATATGTTCTCTGAACTCTTTCATCTAAAGATCATGTTGTCCCCCTAGCCTGACCTAGCCGCAGCGTTCAGACCAGAAATAAGCTTAACCTAACCTTACCCAACATATACACTAATTTTATTAAACTTGTTGAATTAAAGGTCTTTCATGGCCGCAGCGCTCGGGTCCCTAGCCTGTCCTAGCCGCAGCGCTCAGCCCAGAAATGTTAAGGTAGGTCCAAAAATACACCATCTCATCTTACACCTTGTTCTAAATGTCGTCTTTCATCTTATACTGAAAAATCTTGTAGTGAACCACTCTTTTCTTAACAGTTCCACTACAAACTAAATTAGATCTACGCTATTTAGGTTCTTCGATTTTTGGATGAAGTGATCTTGAGAGGGACTCTAATTATCTGCTTACTAACGAATTTAACGGCGACGAAGGGAGAGATCAATACAAAGAGCCCTGAGATTAAACCTGTAGCTCCAATCAGTGAAACTGTGCTAATAACGAATCCGGCTACTTCTTGTACGTCTTCAAGGACTGTTGAATCTAATTCTATGAGGCGGGGATTCTGTGGTGAATCCAGATTGTCAAATTAATCCCTTATTTGATCCAATTATTTGTTTAATTCTAATATAGCGCTATTCTAAATTATTACACCGTTCTTCTCTTAGTCTCTCTTATATATGAAGATTAGGAAAATTGTTGAATTAGTTTTGAAATAAAGTACAAACCAGATTTGTCGGAATTTAAATATTTTATTTACTAAACAGAACTATTACTGACAAATTACAAGTTATTTAAGATATTTATATTTTATTAGACAATGATTATTGATTAAATTGTTTAAAGAGTTTTCAAGGTTTATAATGAGAGCTTTTGAGAAGTATATGTGTTAGAATATTAATTGAGTTTCTTACCTATCATTTGAATTCTTTCTTATCTATCAAGGATAACTAAATGGGATCAAGCCCTGGACTGAACTGAACATATACTGTCAAAAGCGCTCCTTTTATACGAATTTTAACGAGGGGAATATCATCATATTAACACTATGGGGGAATATTAGTTAAGAAGAGAAAGTCGTCTTCCTCCTAGGGCTGACTGAGTTGGATAAAAATGACTTTGCTGTTAAATAAGATTATGATGGAGGGGAATATTTTGATTTTATTTTGTTGCAGATTAAAATGTACTCGAGAAAAGACTTCCCCTCTAAATATACTAAAATTTCATATTGATAATAGGGAGAAAATATTAAAGATCATAAACAGGATTAAAGGAAAACATACATNAACCTATTTTAAATAAATTGGATAGTTGTTGGTTTATTATCTATAATTTGGTGGTATAAACAAAATTGTTTAATGCTCTTAATTAAATTTATTGCACCAAATATGTTTCGATTTCAATAGCAGAAAATTAAAATAGGAATTGGTGTAGTTCCTTTTACATGCTCAATATTCCTAAGGATGCAAAAAAATGTAAAAACTTAAGAAAAATCGTTAAAAATCTGTAAGTAAAAACTGATATAAATCATAACAAGGAAAGATTCCAAAAAGTCAGCCTTATAGATTGTTACAAATAAAATTTGTTTGTTATCAATTAATTATCTGTATTCTCCTGTAGTACTCTATCTTCTTATAATCTTAGTGTCCTTGGAGCCATCGCAACATAAACATATAAACATATAAACATATAAAATATAAATAAATAAACATATAAACAAATAAACATATAATGATGTACACATACAAACATATAAACATATAAACATACAAACATACAAGGAGCACATTTACATTACAGTGGTTGATTTATTTAGTAGTTTTTTGTTTTTTGGATTTATTAATATAATGTAATGTTTTTGCAGGCGAGTTGGCCCAGACCAGACCATGTCCACTCTAAATCTTGTTCCAACAACTCATTAAAGGGGGTTTTTGCTGTTAATGATTTTTGTCTTTCATTCTTTATTTTTTTTACATATTTATTTTTTTACATTTTTATCTTTTAAGTTTTTATTTTTATTTTAAATCTTGATTTTTATTTCTCATATATTACGAATTTTCATATTCTTTAAATTTAATATTCCGAAGTAAACCAGGATTAGAATGATTGTTTGATTTACAATTAATTTATCCCAACAAAAACTAGGATGGCCATTTTAGGTATTAATGTCTGGTATTCAAAAGTTGTGAATCAAAAATATCCTGGAAACTTAAGTTTAAAATGAATTACTATGGTTTTGTGTCATCAATGCTGGATTAGTAGATTCGTGGAACAATCTAAGAGAAATCTTGGATGAACGATGGTTGGGAGACCTAAGCCCCAAGTTTCCAGAAGAAATTCTGCGCCTATACATTTTTCGAAATGTGTACTAATAACATATAAACCTATAAACACATAAACATATAAACATATAAACATATAAACATATTAACATATAAACACATAAACATATAAACATATAAACATATAAACATATAAACATTCAAATAAATAAACATGTAAACAAAAGCATATAAACATATAAAACTATAAACATATAAATAAATAAACATGTAAACAAAAACATATAAACATATAAACATATTAACAAATAAACATATAAATAAATAAACATTTAAACAAATAAAAATAAACATATAAACATATACACATAAATTAAATGATTTCAACTAAAAAGACATGTTATCGTTTTTATAGAAGGAAATGATGTCACATAATTGATCACATAAAGGTTAGATAACTTGAGGTGTGATCTTATCAATTAGTTTACTGTAATTCATGATTTTGAACATCTACTATGCACTCAAACTCAGTAATCATAGATCGTGGAATAGTTTTATTTGTCTCAAATGAATCCTAAAAAATTTGTCCACAATACTGCATACTCAGTTTAACTACCTTACATAGCCGGTCTGTCCCTTTACAAAACGTGGAATATGAAGTCAAAAGGTCGCCATTTTGTTTCTTTTTATTTTGGGTATATATACTGTAATAGAATATAAAGACTACGTTTGGCTTAAATGGCATCATTATATTGACATGATACAAATATAAAACAACTTTAGACCAACTGACATCGTCTACATTTGCCATTTTATTTTGGGTTCCCCCCAAGAAGTGATATAAGAAATGAAAATTGTTCGGCTTATTTATATATCTGCCATTTTTGTGCTTTTAATATCACCGGAGATCTTGATAATTTTTTTCAGTTTTATTTAATCAATTAAATTCTGATATCTCAGGTAATATTGACAACACAACGAGAAACCAAATATGTTAGATTGTTATACGAATACGGATACGTTATAAGATAAAGATAAAAAGATAAAATAAATATTATAAATCAAAGTACAAATTGACACAAGACACCTGTTTATGTTCAGATAATAATTATAATAACTCGAAATATGTTTAATTAACTAACACATTTTCCCCAGCTGTAAACTAAACAGTAAATTTTTAAACAAGAATTTTAAAAATATATTTAAACCAAGGAATAAGTTTAATATAAAAAATTTTATATATAATTTAATTTTTTCTCAATTCTTTAAATTTTGCTTTTATATTGTAATATTTTATATTATGAAATAAATAAAATATTTTATACTATACTGTAATAAATATTTTATTTTAGGATTTCCGAATTTTCTATTCACCTTTTTGATCAGCTCTTAATAACTACAACACATCATTTTTTTTTCATTTCAATAAGATACCTTTTTTACAATTTGTTCAATACCTAAATTCTTAAGTTCTAATTATATGGTGGCTTTTCTTGAAGATTCAATGGTATTCTAAGAAATATATTATATTCGAGCTTCACTTTAGCAATAGTTTAGATTCAATATAATGAAGACTACTTTTCTTTTTAAGTTTTAATTTCTATCAACTATATTCAAATGATGAGTTTAAAAATAAACAAAGAGAAGCTGTTAATGACAGCTTTTCCTTCATGTTAATTGTGCAATTAACATGAAAGAGAAGCTGTTAATGACAGCTTTTCCTCCATGTTAATTGTGCAATTGCATGAAAGAGAAGCTGTTAATGACAGCTTTTCCTTCATGTTAATTGTGCAATTGCATCCATGCTTTTTGAAAACTTAGTAGACTTAAAAAATTGAAATCGAAAGTCGTACTAATTGTATTGATATATAAGAAGGTGACTAGACTTTTTCCCTCAACTGCTGGAAATCACATTTTTTTACAACAAATTTTCCTTCTTTCAACCGCTGGGTTTCATTTTTCCAAAATGCTTGTTTTTCCTTCAACTAATGGAATTATTTTTAATCCAACGTAATCTTTTTTCCTTAAACCGCTGGTTGAACTTTATTGTAAAACTTCTTTCTTTTTTTCAACTGCACTGTGTTTCTTATTTATAGCATTTTTTATATAATCTTTATTTTTGGTGTTTTATTAAATTTCTTTGTAAGTTTGAAATTTTTAAACGGTTTTTTAAACTTAATGTTATTGTTATGTAAAAATATGATAATTCTTTTTTTATTATTTAGTATCTCGTTTTTTTTTGCAAAAACGTTGAAATGTAAATGGTGACCAAATGTTTTTTTATTTTTCCAAAACATAAAACAAGTTGTTACAAAACTTCGAATCTCTGGGTCAACTACCCATGCAGGTTTTGTTACAATGAATAAAAATAAAAATTATTTTATCCGTTTTTTCCATATCTGCAATTTTTATAAATAAAATTAAATGACGATTAAAATATTCATATGCTAGACTATAACTTAAATGAAGAAATTTTCTCAACTGTATAAATGCCCAAATGTATTGTTCTTTAAGGCCTAATTTGCCATTTTTCCATATTTATCGGAAATGTTAAAATATTTGTAAACTTGATACAAAGATATAATATCGTCCATGAGAGTATAGTTTCTGTTACTGAAACTAATTGCAAAAATCGATAATTGAAAAAATCGACCTGTTGTTGTCAAAAAAGCGCGTTGCAAAAATGTATAAAAGAGTTGATGAGGAAAAACAACAGACCAAGGCGTTGCGACACCTTAAAGTTGATGCTGTCTAAAAATTTGATGAATAACTTTCAGAGTTGTCTAGATTAGAAATTGTAACACTAAAAAGTTATCTCAACCCTTAAAGTGCCCCCTCTCTAGTTTGTTTTTGCTACACATAGGACGTTCGTAAGGCTAATTTTTTTTTATTTGAAAGAGCCAATAACATTTTTTAGTACAGCTAGGGTTACCCATAAAAGATGAGACTTCAGAGATGACCATGTGGAATTAATTCATTCTTATTTCTTAACATTCTTAGCTTCCAGCTGCCTTACACGTATATAATGATTTTTACGAAATCATTAAATAAACCATTAAGAGATCATACAGGGTGTCTGCACAAAACATGACAGTTGGTGAATAGTTTTGAATGTCTTCTTCCACATTTTTGCAGTTTATTTCTTTAAAAAAAATGTTTAACTCATATATTTTACTGTGAAATCAATTTTACCATAATGTGACTGTCATATAATAAATGTTATTTGTCTCTTAAGTATCATACAACTTATCAAATTATGGAATAAGACATTTTAAACAATTCACCAACTGTCATGTTTCGTGGGACACCCTGTAGGTCAAGGCAGTATATATCTCATATTAAACTTCTATAAGAGTGCTGGTCAACGTTCCGTTAACGGAAGATTATATTAACTCCCTCTCTAGTTTGTTACTGCTGCACTGTGCCCCCTCTCTAGTTTGTTACTGCTGCACTGTGCCCCCTCTCTAGTTTGTTACTGCTGCACTGTGCAGTATGTACCTTTTGACACTTTTAGATTAAAAGTGAAGTTGTTTTAAAACTTTTATTTTAATTGAAAGTTAAGTAATTTAAAGGATTTTTCGTAAAATTGTCCATTCCTTTTAATGCAAAGGTTACGGTACAGGGCGTTTGTAAGGCTAATTTTTTTTTTACTTGAAAGAGCCAATAACATTTTTTGTACAGTTAGGGTTTTCCACAAAAGATGTGACTTCAGAGATGACCATGTGGAATTAATTCATTCTTATTTCTTAACATTCTTAGCTTCCAGCTGCCTTACACGTATATAATGATTTTTACCAAATCATTAAATAAACCTTAAAGAGATCATACAGGGTGTTTGCACAAAACATGACAGTTGGTAAATAGTTTTTAATGTCTTCTTCCACATATTGTAAAAGATATTTGCAGAATGCAGATTTTTTCTTTAAAAAATGTTATTAGTCTCTTTAGCATCAAAGAACTTATCAAATTATGGGATAAGACATTTCAAACAATTCACCAACTGTCATGTTACGTGGGACACCCTGTAGGTCAAGGCAGTATATATCTCATATTATACTTCTATAAGAGTGCTGGTCAACGTTCCGTTAACGGAAGATTATATTAACCAACGGCAAAATCCGTTAATTTTGAAATCGTTCACAAACGAAAAAAAACCATTTCAGCAAAAAAGAACGAAAAATAAATAGAGAGAATGGATGTTTTTTTTTAATAAATATTTTCTGTCTAAAATTGCCTGACACTGAATTTTTCCTAATGGTGTTTTTTAAAGTGTTTTATTCTTTTCAGCGCTATTTTTGCACGAGATAATCGTTAACGGATATTGATTTCTAAAATATATTCCGTTAATGTCGTGATAAGATTGAGATCGTTGAAAAACGGTAATATTAAAAAGAACGGAAAATACCGTTAACTGAACAGAATGTTAAGGACGAACGGATATATATTAAGTCGGTGAACAAGTGTTAACGAACGGTTTGAAAAAGTCTGAACGAGCCCAACCCTATACCTTGTAATGGCCTTATTGAAATATTTTCAAATCGTTATTACAGTTTCAACCTTTGTGGGTGACTCTGTATCGGAGAAAAAATTGTATGTTTTTATTGTATTTTTCTGACGTACTTATCTTATTCATTTATTAAGGTTAGATGTTTATATTTTATTGAAAGATGCTGACGCCAGAACTTGTTTTATGAATCTCAGGATCAAGCATTATTCTCCATCGTATAAAGACCTAGTATGCTAGGAATTATTCTTTTAGAAAAGTTGAAAATGGAAAATTTGAAAAAAATATGATTTTATTTTTATTGAATAAATCAAGAACTAACAAGAAACAAGAAACAAAGGATACAATTATAACATTAAATATTCTAATTTTCACAAGTTTTTTTCAAACATATAAACAGGTTGGTAGTGCCAGGGTTCATGTGGTGCAGGGGTCCGCGTACCTAAATTCATAAAATTGAATCATGGCGAAATTTGAAAAGACTTTCAATTAAAAGAGTGGAATAAGGGTAATGTAGTTTCAATCTTTGATTACATATACATGATTATGTAATGGTACAGAGCATAGATAAAGATAGATTGCGCATAAGACGACATTTTTCATCTTGAAAGATATAAATGTACAGAGATGTTTTAAAGATATTCCTATTATATAGATTAACTAGGTCGGTTGTGAACATTGGCTGTTCTTATGTCATTGAGTACTTGTGGTGTACATGAGTTCTGTAGAGAGAAATTTAAGTTAGTTTAGTC